GAAAAGTGTTTTTTTTTTTTGCTGGAAAAGAGAAAAGAAATAAAAATGTTTGGAAAAAAAAAAAGTTGGAATTCTGGTGTGGAATTTTGGGATTTGGGGGGAAGGGGGAATTTGGGGGTTGGATTTGGGAATTTTCGGGTGATTTATTTTAAAGTTTTATTTATTTTTAATTTCTTTTTTAATTTTGTTTTTAATTTCTTTTTTAATTTCTTTTTAATTTATTTTTTAATTTTATTTTTAATTTATATTTTAATTTTATTTTTAATTTATTTTTTACTTTTATTTTTAGTTTATTTTTTAACTTTTATTTGTTTATTTATTTATTTTTAATTTCTTTTTTACTTTTTATTTTTTTACTTTTATTTATTTTAATTTTTTAACTTTTATTTCTCTTTAATTTATTTTTAATTTGTTTTTTACTTTTAATTTTTTTAATTTCTGTTTTGTTACTTTTATATATTTTTATTTTTTTTAATTTATTTTTAATTTATTTTTTTAACTTTTATTTGTTTTTTTTTAATTTTTTTTAATTTATTTTTTAATTTTTATTTCTTTTTAATTTCTTTTTTTACTTTTATTTATTTTCATTTTTTACTTTTATTTCTTTTTATTTTTTTACTTTTATTTCTTTTTAATTTTTTTAATTTTTTTAAATTTAATTTATCTTTATTTTTTTTTACTTTTATTTATATTTATTTTATTTTTTACTTTTATTTATTTTTAATTTATTTTTTAACTTTCATTTGTTTTTTTAATTTATTTTTAATTTATCTTTTATTTATTTTTAATTTATCTTTTATTTATTTTTAATTTATTTTTTACGGTTATTTATTTTTAATTTATATTTTTTTTTACTTTTATTCATTTTAAATTTATTTTAAATTTCTTTTTTTTAATTCGTATTTTATTTAATTTTTTTTTAATTTATTTTTTATTTTTAATTTGTGTTTTTTCATTTACTTTTTATTTATTTTTTATTTTTAATTTGTGTTTCTTTAATTTATTTTTAATTTATTTTTATACCTTTTTTATTTATTTATTTTTTACCTTTTTTAAATTTAGTTTTAATTTAATTTTTTTAACTTCAGGTTTTTTTAATAATTTTTATTTATTTTTTATTTCACGTTTTCTGATTTATTTTTAATTTCTTTTTTTTACTTTTATTTATTAAAAAAAGGAAATAAAAATTAAATAAAATAAATTTAAAAAAAATAAAAAATCAAAATAAAATGAGATCACAGTGAAATAAAAATGAAATAAAATAAAAATGAAATGAAATAAAAAATAAAATTAAAAAATGAAATAAATTTTAAGAATAAAATAAAAAATCAAAATAAAATTAAAGAGAAATAAAGGGAAATAAAAGTAAAATGAAATTAAAATAAAATGAACTTTTAAAAATAAAAATAATGAAATAAAAGAAAACAAAAATTAGAATTAAAAAATGAAATAAATTTGAAAAATAAAATAAAAATGAAATAAAAAAGAAATAAAAAGAAATTTAAAAAATAAAATTAAATAAAATGAAATTTTGAAAATTACATTTGAAAATTAAATTAATTAAAATGAAATAAAATGAAATAAAGACAATTAAAAGGTGAAATAAAATTAAAGGAAAATGAAATCGAAATAAAAGGAAATAAAAATAAAATGAAATAAAAAAATAAAAAAAATGAAATTTAAAAAATAAAAATAAATTCATCAAATTAAAATGCAATAAAATAAAAATGGAATGAAAAAAATGAAATAAAGTTGAAAAAACGAAATAAAATTTAAAAATGAAATGAAATAAAAATAAAAAAATTAAATAAAAAATGAAATTAAAAAAAAATTTAAAATGAAATTTGAAAATTAAATTTATGAAATTCAAAGGAAATCAAATTAAAATAGAATTAAAAATGAAATAAGTCTGGAAAAATGAAATTAAAATGAAATAAAAAAGAAATTTTAAGAAAATAAAATAAAATAAAATAAAATAAAAAATAAAATAAAATAAAAAATAAAATAAAATGAAATTTTAACAGAATTAAAAGGAAATTTAAAAAAAAAATAAAATTTTGAAATCCAACTAAAATCAAATAAAACATAAGAAATATTTATTTTATTTTTATTCCCATTTTTAATCCCCTCCCTTTTCCCGCCCCCATCCCAAGAAATTTTTCCCAAAATTCCCAATAAAAAAAAGCACCAAAAAAATCCGATTTTCGTATCAAAAAAACCTTTTTATTCCTCGTTTTCCCGCCCCCCCAAAAAACCTCGGGAATCACAATCCTATAAAAAACCCCCCTCGGAAATCAAACCCACCCCCCCCTATTCCCTAAATTTTTTCGGGAATTCCCCGTGGAAAAATTCCAGGATTTTTTCCGGGATTTGGGGGAAAAAAATCAGATTTTTTTTCAATTTTTTTAAATTTTTTTCCCGTTTTTTCCCGGATTTTTTCCCGGATTTTTCCAGGAATTCCCATTTCTCCCTAAAATCTAAAATCCTGCCATTCCCAGATTTTTTCTTTCCCGGGAATTCCCGGAAAAAAAAAAAACAACTAAAAACTTCTTAAAGCTGAAAATTTTCTAAGAGCGGAAAAAATTCCCTAAAAATAAAAAAAAATCTGGGAATTCCGGGAATTCCCAGCGCTGGAAAAATTCCGGCGGGCGGGAAAATTGATCCCGGAAAAAAATTTAGGGATAAAACCGTAAAAAATGA